ATAAAAAAAAGTTAATCAAAAGCCTGCTAAGTCAACCACCTCAAAAGGAGACTTAGGCAAAAATCAAGGCAATCCCGATGGATCTGACAAGCAAAGTCAGTCCATGCAAAAGTTAGGGATCAAAAACAAAACCCGAAAGAGGTCCTCAAACCCTCGACAAAAATAAAATAAGATTCAGTGGCCACCCAAATCAAGGGGTTACTGACATCCATCAAAATAAGGTGACTGCCATTTCGAGCATACCTTGAACCATCTAGCTTACACCGTCAAGGTAAACTTTTGCAGAATTAACTGAACATAGGTTTGGAGACCATTATGAAGAAGGGGTGGGTACAAATAATACTTTGAGCCTAATGTCCTTTGCTTCTATAACCGTGAACCAGACCACGATACAACCCTCAAAAGACCTAATTAAGGCGGGGCTTATTCCGAAAGCATACTATTGCGAGGTTGCGTAAACTGACTCCTACATATTTGCTAATCTTATGCATTGGTGTCATATTCTTGCTATATCTTTCACACCAATTAAATCAGCATTGCGTTTGGATTAACGGCCCAATCATCACACATTTTCACATCATTCCTAATAAATGATATTTTCATAACTTGCATGAATGTCACATTAAAATTACCATTTTTGAATGAACGATTTTAATTGCAAATTAGTAATTGGCATAATGGAAATTCCAACAAAGTGCAGTCAAAGAGGAACTTGATCACTCATTGGTGTCGACCTGAATTAAGACTTTCTCCTAACCTTACGAATCTGGGGCAAGTCCTTCTGAGGTTTAAACCGGGGCAAACCACTACAAGTTCCAGACACTGGGGCAAAGGGGTTCAAGCCATATCCTGGTATAATCATCGCCAAAGTTCTCATCCCAGAAGAAAGTCCTTCAAACACTCGGCAGACTTGGGCAAACTGTTTGAACTTGGGGCAAACTAGCTGGTGGTTGAGGTCAACAAGCGTCAAAAGCCTTGGAGCAGAGCAAAAGCACGACTAATACGCATTGGTTAAGTCGCTACGCTCAATTCATACGCATTGGTTAAGTCGCTACGCTCGCACAATCCATATGCATTGGTCAAGTTGCTACGCTCGCGCAGTCAACATGCTTTGGATAAGTCGCTACGCTCAATGTTTGTAAGTCATCATGACATATCAGCTAGAAGCAAGGTTCTTACAAGAACAAGTATACCATTTCTGCAAAGGATCCAACGTGGGACACCAAGAGTATCCACATCTGTCTTCTGATTGTAGCACTGCCAGAAACTGTGTGTCGGGAAGTCAAATCCTTTTACCAATAAAAGTCCAATCTCGTTTGGCACACCCCACATAAAGTCCAATCTTTTATTGGCAACCACAAAAAGCCACTCCAATTGGCACCTTCAATTCACCCTAAAAAAGCCCAGTCTTCATTGGCAACCACTAAGAGTCCACCTCGATGGCATCCCCATAAAACCAAAGTCCAATCCATTTGGCAACTACCAAATCCAGTCCCTGGTGATACCCCCGGCAAGATTTTATCCCTAGCATACCTGATCATGTGCATTGTCATAAGCATACAACGTCATATCATAATCATATTAAGCACATCACTTGCATACGCATCTTGCATTCCCTAGCAGTTGCATTTTTAGTCGCATGTTTATGCATCATAACGCATAATATCGTTATCCCCATTAGCATTATGTGGCATAACAACATAGCAGGATCCATGATCGGTTCACAAACATCTTGGCCAGTCCCCCGGTGAAGTTGGCAGTATGACTCTGAAAAGAGTTAATACCCCACGAGTTCAGAGAATTCTACTCGCCAGAAAGTCATTCTCCAACCATGCAGTTGATGATGATAATCCCCAGCAACTGTTGCTCTGGTGGCTCACCAAGCAGAGGTTCTCTTAAAAAGCTTCTTGAAGGCTTTCCCTGCAGAGTTTGCACAACGTTATTCCTCCAATAGGAATTTTGGCTCAACTATTCCCCAACAAATTTTAGAGATACTGCTTTGGTATCATTGAAGAATCTTATTGGATAAGAGGCTGCTTTGACCACCCGAAGAATCTCATGTGTTTAGAGACACCACTTTGGTATCACGAAGGACCTTAACGAATGAGGGACTGCTTCGACCACCCAAAGAGGCTCGTTTATACCACTTTGGTATCGCGAAGGACCTTAACGAATGAGGGACTGCTTCGACCACCCAAAGAGGCTCGTTTATACCACTTTGGTATCGCGAATGACCTTAACGAATGAGGGACTGCTTCGACCACCCAAAGAGGTTAGTTTATACCACTTTGGTATCACGAAGGACCTTAACGAATGAGGGACTGCTTCGACCACCCAAAGGGGTTCGTTTATACCACTTTGGTATCGCGAAGGACCTTAATGAATGAGGGACTGCTTCGACCACCCAAAGGGGTTCGTTTATACCACTTTGGTATCACGAAGGACCTTAACGAATGAGGGACTGCTTCGACCACCCAAAGGGGTTCGTTTATACCACGTTGGTATCGCGAAGGACCTTAACGAATGAGGGACTGCTTCGACCACCCAAAGAGGTTCGTTTATACCACTTTGGTATCGCGAAGGACCTTAACGAATGAGGGACTGCTTCGACCACCCAAAGGGGTTCGTTTATACCACTTTGGTATCGCAAAGGACCTTAACGAATGAGGGACTGCTTCGACCACCCAAAGAGGTTCGTTTATACCACTTTGTATCACGAAGGACCTTAACGAATGAGGGACTGCTTCGACCACCCAAAGGGGTTCGTTTATACCACTTTGGTATCGCGAAGGACCTTAACGAATGAGGGACTGCTTCAACCACCCAAAGAGGTTCGTTTATACCACTTTGGTATTGCGAAGGACCTTAACAAATGAGGGACTGCTTCGACCATCCAAAGGGGTTCGTTTATACCACTTTGGTATCACAAAGGACCTTAACGAATGAGGGACTGCTTCGACCACCCAAAGAGGTTCGTTTATACCACTTTGGTATTGCGAAGGACCTTAACAATAAGGGATTGCTTCGACCACCCAGAGAATATCAGGTTATCTTGTTCATCCTATTAACCCGTTCATGGTACTTTTCACTCATCTACCGGACAAATTTCGGGGTCTTCTTGTATCTAATTGACTTCCATCTTAAAATGAACGCCATGCGGCAGTTCATTCACTCAGGTTTAAGGCAATTAGATAGGGGCATCTGTCATACCCCAAATTTGTCCTACTTCGGTGTTTAATGGAGATTTGACTGTTTCACGACTTCTGGCTATGACTATCTGAGACTTCGTTCATAAAGACCATGTGTGTACACATTGTGGTTGTAATCTCCAGCAATTTATGATGAAGAACGTGCCCCCAGCTTTTATATCCAAATTCATATGTGTCCTCGTTATCACGATCAGATATATATGATATGGACAATGGCATAAAATGCATGATTGTTGGATTTCAAGAAATTTAAACCCTATTTCAACTTGGTTACGAACTTCTCTAAAGGATGGGTGAGCCTCACTAGAAGTTGATTGTACAAGTCGCCTGTTATGGCATGTGCCTGATCCAAGTTGTTCAAAAGTACTTGCTTCTAGACACGGTCGATTTAACCTCAAGCTTTGTTCAAATTGAACGCAAGCATCTAGCTATGTTTGGTTTCTAAATCGGTTTGTGACAAACTTAGATTTAGCTTACAAGATTTTGCATCATAATTGAAATAGAATTTAGATGCAATTAGTCAAGAAATTCATTAATTGGTGATGGCATTAGATTAGCAAACTTAATATCGTTACTAGCCAATGTGGATTTAAAATTGCAAATAGGTACGAGTTTGCCACAAGATGGATGCCAAAATACCAATGGATGTATGGCCATGTTTTATTGCTTGGATTATAAGGAAATAATAATACTACAAGCTGGCAGAATATGTTCATCCCGGCGTTTATCAAATCAAACTTACGGGATTAAATTCATGAGTGATTGTACAAATCAAGTCCATATGAAAAGGTGATATCCTACGATCTCTATCATGCCTAATAGCCAATTCCCCGCTCAAAAGACTATGGGTCAGCTACCAAGTTGATGTTATATAGTTAAGTTATAAAAAATACCAAGTTCAACAGATAAAATTCCATGGTCCTCAAGAATTTGTCTTGTAAAGCATGGAAAAAGCAATAGGGCAAGATGTTTGAATAGAATGATAAACACCAAGGACTTCTCACTTTCAATGATTCAAGAGGGATACAAATTTACTGTATAAAAGAATACAAAGATTGTCACAAAATGATATATGCGTTGGTTCTCTCATTCTCATTATATGGAAACTCGAAAATGGAAAAATGAGTGAGTTGTGTGTTTAATATCATGGTGCAAACTGATACAAATGCTATCCTACACTCTAATATTTCCTGTACAAATTATGCTCTTCCTTCACGTTTGGAGGGCACTGATTTCGAGCTCCTAAGTTTCTGTGTGTGTCATTTGATTTTTTCCAGCTTTCTGTCGCATTGTCATCTCTCATGTTCTCGATTGATTTGCTTCTTTGACTGTTAACTTCAGAAAACTTGGTTGAACTTACCATTCCAAGAAGCTTAGAGAAGGAACCGCAAGTGTTGTATTTTGCCGTGCTTGACAGATCTTCAACTTCTGAATTGCCATCTGAGCATGATCCTATCTTTTCAGGATTTTGATTATTTGAAAAATCTCCAAATATTTGAGATGAAATGACAGAGGATTGGGATGAAATAATGTCATTTAACTCTTTCCCAGTACCATCATGACATGATTTTTCTTCTCTATCCTCAATCACCACCATTGAGCCGTGGTGTTCTGTACTATTTCTTTGAGGTGATTCCGTTCGTTTGAAGTTTGATTCATCTGCTAAGATAATCGGGCTACTGGTAATTCTGCAGGAATCATTGCTGTTGACAGTTTTTTTCTTCAAAATGCTCAATTATATCTACTGTCATAAAACTTTGGTTGCAAACAGATTCATTCAATAAGTTTACATCACATTTGGTGTTCTCTTCTGGTTCCACCATACACACTTGTTGTTTGTTGTCTGTCAGGCTCGTGCCTTCTCCGCATATGCTGCCTGATTTTTTTGGGAAATCGAGCAGCAAGTGACATAAATGCAGAACTGTCAACAGAGAAAAAAAGTTGTTGTGGCATGTTGTTAAATTCAAAGTCAGCTAAAAAAACTAGAAGAGTATATACCTGGAAAGATGGTCTGTGACATTTTGAGTGAGGAAAGCTCCCACCACTGAATCAACAACTGATCCTTTCCATCGAGAAAATTGCCTGTCTCCTGTTGATTATGTTTTATATTAATATACTGTATGAAATATACAACTAAAGCCAATGAGTGCAAAGGATTAAACTTTGGTTGAAGGTCTTGTACTGATACCTTGTACAAGATGCATCCGTGCAATAAATAATTCCGCTCGTCCACGGAAAACATTACGTTCTCCTTCCTACCATTTGGCCTTGTCTTCATCTGTTCCATCAACCCCATCATGGTTTATATCTAACAGCAAAATCTTCCACACTCTATCAGTCTCCTCATCAAGGTCAACTTTAGGTTGTGGGTGCTGTTTTTTGATGGGATCAAATAAGCCCTGAAAGGGAACAAGTGCACTCTGCCCATATAAGGCAAGTTCTTTCGCTCCCAAATTTATCGATTGAACCCTATTCATCAACCCTAGTAATTTTTTTCCCGGTACTCGTTGAACTCCTCCAGTGTTCCGGAGCTCATCGAATCCTAATACCTCTGTTAACCGTCGTTCATCGACATCGGTCAATGTCACTGTGGCTCACGGTTATATAAAGATTTTAGTAAATTCATTTCAATGTTCTGAAATTCATCCTTGCTGGCGAAGTTCGGAGATAGAGGATTCTTACCAATCAGTTAGTTCTCAGTTTCGTTTAAGCTGGATTCTGGACTTATATGTTTTCTGCAGCTTCAGTCAGAGGAGCAAGACACCGGTTTTGCTATGCATCCAATAGACATAGCTTATTCGGGCTATGCTTAGTTGAAAATGTTCCGACTATTGCATCATCCCCTACCAGATATTTTCGATCTTTTACTCCTTACTCCATACATCCAAGAACTTACAGCATACCAAGACATCTTTCAAAAATTACCCCCTCTATGTTCTCCGTCAGCTTTTGTTTCACAGCTGAGATCAAATGTCACTGGAAGCCAAGGTAATCAGGCAAACTGGATACTTTCCAGATACATAAGTAATTCATTAGTTAAACTGAAGACCCAAAATGATGTTGTACGGTTCTCTCTGTATAAGCCCAGCGATATTAGTTCTAGAATGAAGAGCCCAAATAAAAAAACAATGAAAAAATCTAAAAGGGCCAAAGTGAATGAGCTTAATACCTTCGAATAACAAGCAGCACACAAGGAAAAGCTGGCGCAAGCTTGTTGTTGGTCTTTCTCCTTGTCGTATCAAACCCGTGTTATGCCAAGTCTCCCATAAGCGCATACATGAATAAGAAATAAAGGTGGTTAGTACAATATACAAGCCATAATCAGTTCACAATGCAACAAAAAAAAAACAATGAGATCCCTCGTTTCAACAGAGCAGCCATGGTGAAGGGTCCTGGTCTCAACATCGACATCGGCAAGAAAGCCAGAGATCTGTTGTGCAAGGATTATCACAATGAGAAGAAGTTCACTATCAAACACTGACTTGCTTATTGGAGTTGCTATAATGTCCTCAGGAACGAAAAGTGTTATTGGAACTAATGCTCTTGCTTTGGTGATGATCTTTCTTTTTTGATAACCAAACTTGGGGTACTTACAAAATCCAAAGCTGCCGTCGAACTTTGTCAAAGATAACTTGGTTGGGTCATTGACTCTAAATAGAAAAGGTGATCATTGGTTAGTATAAGAACAGGCCATAACAGTAAGAGATGCGCAATGAGACGCTTAAGATTGAATCCCGGATTTACCTGCCAAGCCTTGATCGCATCCGCAAGATTGTAAGGCATCATACCACTCCACGCCAAGTTGAGGTCGGTACATGAAAATCAACACAAAAACGCAAAGTTACCATGAGAGCTTTTCAACAGCAAGAATACACATCAGTGTTAATGATGAGATTCATAGCAGAATGAACAAAACAATTAAACCAGAAAGAAATTATGGTTTTAGCAGTCAAGAATCGACTTAAGGAAAGCTACCATGGATTAGTTGTTGGCTTGATAACATTAGCTACAGGTCCACTTATTGAAACATCCAACACGCATGTGCAGTAGTAACAATAAAAGTGTGCAGCGGTAACCGTAATGTGCGCAGCAGCTCCAAGTAATGCGACATGAACAACAAGAGCTCCATTGATCCGTAATAAATTTCCAAATCCAATGGTCATCTTCGCTCCTATTATGCACATGAAAATAGAAGTATGTCAATGAGCAGGTGATAAAAGCATCTTAAAGCACGTAGAAGCAAATAATTGATTTCAGGGAAGAGAAGAGAACGTATTGGAAAGTATTAGTAATGACGGTGCACCTATGGAGGTCTCACTAAAGGACTAAGATGGTAAGAGGTTCAAAGTAAAAAATAAACTTGCAAGTACGATGTCATGAAAATGCATACCAATTACAAGAGCAAAACCATGTGTCTCTAAGGGCACAAATGATGGCCATATATGTTGCATCACATTACTAGAATTCTCCAGATGATCTACAATTAATGGCAGATGCTCCAGCATATTACTTGTTTGTGCTACTCGGGCCTGCGTATTTGCAAGCGTCACAGCTAGGCCATTCAGTAGATACCGCCACACAAAGGCGTATTGTGAACACGATAGCAATTTTTGAATGCGCAACAGTGACGACGTAACTGCATCAGAGATTTGCGTTGTAAATTTGAAGCAACACTCAGACCCAACAGTAGTTTTGAATATCTTCACCACAACAATGATAATATCACAAAGCTTGTACTGCTTACCATTTGATCCTAATCAAGTCGGAGTTTCGTGAGTTGAATTATTGGTTATGAAGGAACTGGATGCTCTTTGTCACTAAAACTTGTACAGCAACTGCGAGAACAAATATCTGAGTTTGGTTTGGGCAGCATTAAAACAACTAGGAAGATGAAGAGAAGCATCACCGCAAGAGCTAAGGCTGCAAGTCTTCCCCGAGACTCATAATATCGCTCTCATACCAGAGTCGTGAACAGATTGTCAAGATTATTTAAAGCTGTCCATAGGTTAAGTCATTCCATGTGTTGAGTTATGATTCGTATACTTGCCGTTCATGACCAAGTCTCCAAACTCAAACCATACCACAGAGCTCCAAAAGCTAAGTTGCAACGCTCCAGGAATTCATTGGCACGAGATCACACAAAATGTATCTGCAGAACCAGAAATGAAGATGAGTCAATAGCCAATTTTTGCTCTTACAAAACTATGTCAACCTTGTGCATTGATGCTGTAAAAGAATAGAGGAAGTTAAATATACCATCCTTATGTGAGTCGAGAAGTAAGCGGTACATCATTTTTCCTCTCCTAGCTATGATATCTTATTGAAGTTCCATCCAAATATGTTGGCTTCATCCCCTGCAATGGTAAGGAATACATTCAAATAAGTCATACCAAGACATTCTAAAGTCAAAAATATTACAGCAGTAAAAGCCACATTATCACAGTAAAAATTTAGAGTAAAAAATAGATATTTTCACAAGTAGCTACAGACAAAGAACAAGTCACCATCACCTTGGTCCCCCCCACCCAAATCCTTGTGCAAAACCTCTCTAACGGTATTGCAGGACCACAACCCACAACCTCACACACTTGAAGGAATAGTCCTCAGGATTTCTCTAAAAATCACACGTATGAGAATATCTTGAATCCTCCTATAAAAAGGGACCTAATGATTAGTGAAGAACAGAGGAAAAAACCCTAAAAAAAACTACAACAGAAGAGAAGAAAACCCTATGAAAACTCTGCCAAATTCAATTCTTAACATTTCCTAAAAGCTCTTTTCGCAAACCTTCTCAGAGCTATCATCAAAGCCCTATGCAAGGTGAGCTCGGCCACACACTCACACACTTTCATCAAGACATATAAGCAGATAAAGAACCAAAACCACTGCGAAATAAGATGAGAGAAGAGGAATAAGATTCAAAGCAAAGCCAGGAAAACACTCACCGGTATTGTAACACCCCACTTCCCAAATTAAATAAAATATAAACATTATAAATAAACATCAGAGTTTTCACCAAAATAGTGGGATATCACATCACCAAATTTTTATAAAAATACTTTATTAATTATTCTCAAAAATAATACAGCGGAAAACATTATTCCAACATTCTCGACCATCCGCCAAATTTCGTAAAATCTTTATTATTATAATTCACAGAAAAAGTGATACGTCACAGGATTACAACAAGTTTAAAATAAAACAATTAAAACACCCATATCCCGTGTTACGTATCAAAGCATCCTAGACTCGACTGGCACACCACCATCCAAGCTATCTAAGTACCTGGATTATCTGTACTTCCGGAGAAGCACAGACACAACAACAACCAAGGGGTGAGAAAACATGATCAAAAATATATTGGTAGTGTAATACATGTAAACAAGGTAGTAAAACACACCAACACACCAATATTCACCCCAACAACTCCATATAACGAACCTACTGTTCAAATTACAATATAACATATTATAATGCAAATATGCAACTCAACACCATGCATGCGGTACCGACTCATTGGTTCATTCAATCGAACCTGGATAGATCACTTACGCTCCTCCTGAGACATGATCTATCCCCCACCATTCTCCATAAAGGAGTACGGATGAATCACTTACGCTCCTCCTGAGACATGATTCATCCCACCAAAACACCATGATATGCATACACCAATGCATAACTATCATATTTAGGCACTCAAAGTGCACACGATCCTCCTGATCATATCATCATACATCAATGCATATATGTACAGATATAACATACACCAACACCATATAGATCAATTAGATAGTAAACAACTTCATACTATAACACCAGATATAACCACATCCCAACACTCGGGAACGCACGATCCTACTGATCACTACATATATATACATTAACTAATTGTTCACCAACAATATCAAGGAAAACGAGTACCATTACCAAGTAAACAAGTTCATACTTTATCACCAAGATATAAACACGTCCCACCACTCGGGAATACACGATCCTACTGATCACTACACCATGCTCCGCATGATTCATACACCAACTAATTATCCATTTAAATAATTAGTAACGGAAATCACATACTATCACCGAGTACTCACTCTATAACACTCAATCATCTCCCCTATAATCAACAAAGCCCAAGGGCACTACACTCTTAGCGCACACAACATAACAACATAGAAAAACCACATTCTGCTACGCTCGCTAC